TGTCTATGACCTCAACTTGATCCCACAGAGGAATTAACAGGAGATAGCAGATATCCATTAGACCTGGCACGTGGAACTAGAACAGTCTACCTCACTGGGTGAAATAATGGGTTCAGTTTGACATACTAACCACCTGAAGAAGGCCAGAGTGTACAACGGCTGAAACGTTGTGATAAACATGGCGACAAAGATGAGGACAATAGTCTGAATAATGTAAATAGTGTATATAATACCTCATCTCAGAAATATAGACAAATATTGGACCTTCAAGCTCACAAAAAACAGAGTATCACAAGGATGGTTTTTCCCTTAACACTGCTATTATTTTAATTACCTTCACTCCTTGGCAATGTTTATTGTTTTTAAAGGTGATGATTAAAATTGTAATAAAACCTAAACATATGATGAAAGTGAATTTATTCTTTTTTCTCTAGTATTTAGAACGAAAATGTTAATCACTATTTATTTGATTGTTTGCAAGAATAATTTTATATTTACGACATTCTAAAAACTAATACAATTAAAAGTACTGCAATGTAATATCATTTACCAATTTATAAAGAAATAAATATGAAAACAATTTTTTATTCATAAATTTATAAACATTTACTAAATTATAAAAATATGTGAACCATTTATAAGGAAATCCTTATTATTTACCATTTTATAAAGTTTTGAATCAACTGGCAATTAGCCAGTGTTTTGTTAGCCATTTCAATAAACAATATCTAAATAAATGGCAAGTTCTGTCTGGCTGTCTGTGTGAATGAAATCTCTCTAACTCAGGCCACATTTGCTCCACAATGACATAGCTTTTTGGAATCAGGATGATGCCAGGAGTTTAGAAAGTTTGAATTGGTTGGCAATTAACTGATATTTTGCCAACCATCCCAATAAACAATCTAATAAATAGAGTTCTATTATTTTTGTTGGCAGTTTTCAAGAACAAAGAAAATGTATAAATTCAATTCTAATCATAGCTTTTTAAAACAATAAACATTGCTGAGGAGTTAAAATAATAGTGGTGTCGAGGGAAAAATCCTCCTTTTGGCACTGGGATTTATTTTTATGGACATGAAGGTTCAACTTTGCCAAAATAAGAACTCTTTGTCTCTCTCTCACACACACACACACACACACACACACACACACACATATATATATATATATATATATAATTGTGTATTTGGGCAGCAATCCCTCTTTTATATTAGTTTTCATTAAAGACAACTGACAAGGTACTGTGAGTAAGCATTTTGTTTAATTTTTATTGTATTGATTTTTTTTTTTAAGCATTTCACCCCTAGCAAGGTGGGAAGCAACTAGGATGCAAGGGGTTACAGAAAATTTAGAGCAAGATCAGATAGGAGTGATAGAAGAAAGGATGAGGGTAGTGGATAGATCAAGGCAACTGGAGATGTTGATTGACATTATACTTGAATAGCTGGAGATTATAGCTCACAGGGAAACAGGAATAGGGAAAGGAGTTCCACAGGCGAGAGGTGCGAGACATGAAGCTATTGGAGTAGAAGAGACGGCTACATTTAGGAGTTTTGACAGTGAAGGGGTGAGAGCGGGATGCCAGCCTCGTATGGTGCTTGAACTCATGACGTCTGGGAACCAGCGAATGCAGCTCCTCGGAGCAATTTCCATGAAAGTATTTGTAGAACAGACATAAAGTCTTTAAAAATTGTCCAAATGTTCTATGTATCTGATTGTTTTTGGATATTCTATTAGCCATTATCAAGAATTTTTTCATTTTTAACTGAATGCGTAAATTTTTTATATGATTCTAGAATGACAGAAATGGTTTTTAATTTTCAAAACATGATCAGCATATTTCAGTCATGTTCATAGTTATTATTGGCCATGTTCAAAATTATTATTGAATGTCACATAGTGTTCATAGTTGATATTATTGAGTGTCACACTCAGTAATATCAACTATGAACATGGCCACAATTTGCTGACCATGTTTGGAAAATAAAAGAACATTCCCTTCACTCTGGAAACATAAAAAATCTATACATTCAGTTAGAAATAAAAAACATCCTTGATAATGGTTAATAGAATTTTTTTCTTTTATAAATTTTGTGACATATGGTGGCCATTAATAATTAAGTATAACTCAATACTTCAATGTTAAGATAAAACAGAATTTAATTACAACCGCAAATAAATACTAAACAAGAACAAAGAATTAAAAGTCAACCAAAGTGATGTAATGAAATAACCTGTCACCCCCACGAGTGACTACACTATGAGTAGTAACTACCTATAAGTAGATGTAAGTCAACAGACTTCAGAGACTAGCTGGGATCTGTTGAGTATGACTTACGTGGAAACTACCGACCTTCCAATAGTAGCACTCACTACTAGATTGACTTGCGACTATCGTGCACATAACTGTTACCTTATTTCTTATTATACAATATTTTACAAGAAACCTTTACTTATTTTATCCACCATGTTTGTCAAATATATATTCCTGTTAGCATGGAATATAACACAAAGATAATTAACCATTTCAGTGAATACCTTGTTAGTAGCATGGCTTGGCTTAACATCTGGTAAATCCTAAATAAAAATCCCAATCAATGATGCACAATAATTCACACTAATTCGACTGGATAGTTGCACTCAATAGTCACTCTAGTCAGTAGCCTGACACCACTATTTATACACCTGGTAGAAAACAGATATTGATAAGCCCAGAGTGTCATGCACAAACCTCAGTGTCGGTAGTTACTCATTTTCTTCCTATATGACAATAAAAAAGTTTCCTCAAACACTAGAAATAGTTTTTTGAGTTACAAAAACAAAATATATAACCGATGAATACCTATGGTATTTGATTTTAATATAATATAATATAAATAATATAATATAATATAATATAATAATATAATATAATATGATATAAATAGTTTCATTTGCTCAAAAGAAATTGTATATATATATATATAGTGTATTGAGGCAGCAGATCATTATTCAAACATATACTGTTAAATATAACAGACAACGAATGTCTATTATGTTTGATCATGGACCATTCTAAGTTTCGCATAGTGGCTTTACTTTCAGAAGAAAATAAAAACAAAAACTGCCCAATATTTGGATATCTTTTTATTATGCTGTTCCTTGATCTAAGCTTTCGACTCACATGAGCCATCATCAGAGTGGTTATATGGACAGTTTTGTCTTTATTTTCTTCTGAAACTAAAGCCACTATATGAAGCTTAGAACAGCTCATGATTAAACATAATTGACATTTGTTGCCCCTTATATTTAACAATGTATGTTTTAACAATATATATATATATATATATATATATATATATTAGTGTTTTTGAAAAATTTAAACTGAAACTGATTCAACACATTTCTAGATAGGAAAAGTTTCAAAGTTATTAAAATAAATGAAATTTCTTTTCAGTCTTGTTTAAATGCTTCTTTTTGTTGTTTTTTTTTCAGATTTTGTATAAATTTAAATTGTTATTATTTGGAGAAAAGAGGATTTTGTTCATCATCTATGGCCGCTCTGGTCACCAGATCTTGCTCCATGCAATTCTTATCTGTGGTGGTATATCAAAGAAAGAGTGTATATTCCACCTATGGTTGCTAGCCTTGAAGATTTGTGACATCAAACTGGTGAATCTGTGAAATCGATATCTACATATCAAGAGATTCAAGTGTGGGAAGAAGGGGAAAACTGTTTTGTTATGTAACACACGGTGTTCATGTGGAGAGCATACAAGTTGAACAACCCTAAAATAATAAACTTTGAACCTTTTCCTATCTAGTAATATGTTGAATTTGTTTCTGTCTCTTAGCATTTGTTTTTAATACATTTTCAAAATCTGCTCTTTCTTTTTGAACAACCGTGTATATATATATATATATATATATATATATATTGATACATGTTTCATTAAATAATATAGACAAGTGTTGTCTATTTATTTTATGCAAATACTTTTCATAACGTCTGATAAGCTTAATAACATTATCATTAAACGAAGAAAGAAAATCACAATATTGATACATATTTTTTTAATCCAATCTAAGCTTTTGGCTTACATAAGCCATTATCAAAGATGACATTTACATTACAATATATTAAGTAATACAAGCCAGTGATGGTAGTATGTTCTGTTTACATGGAAGATTTCCAAGCAATGACAAACTTGTGCATATAAGATGCTGGAAGCAAAAATCGCACCACAGCTCATGATGTCACACCAACGTTTATTCCAACGGCTTCCCATATTTAATACTTCTCAAATTCACTCTTGCGTGGTCACGTGTGACGTCATGAGCTGAGGTGCGATTTTCAATCAATGAAAAAATGCTGCTTAAATACATATATATATATATATTTATATATATATATATATATATATATATATATATATATATATATGCATAACTTTGAAACAAAAAAAAAAGACATCAAATAATTAAAATTCATTCATCACATTGCTTTGTCTAGAAGAAAAAAGAAAAAAAAACTTGGTACTTTGTTGAAATATTGTGTCTATAAAAACATCTATATCAACCAAGATGGGATCACTAGTTCGAAATATTACAAAAATATTGACAATTATTCACCTTGAGAAAAATCCCATATCAGCCAATCAATGGACATCTGATGATGACCAAGAGGTATTTGGTCGAAATGTTGCATGTATAATAATATATATACCAACCAAGATGAACAACAGTTTGAAATGATATTAGAATATTGACAGTTACTGATCTCAGAAAGGAAATACTAAATTATGAAATAATTATTCTTGTATTTTTATCAGACGCTACTCTCATTATAAAACCAAAAAATATCTTTGCTGATTTTGAGAGTTGAAATTATTTGCTGATTTTGAGAGTTGAAATTATTTGCTGATTTTAATAGTGGAAATTCTTTTTAAGAGCTTAGCATTTATTTCTTATATTATTAAACAGGTTTGTCCATAAACTTTATTTTCTTTCTTTTTTTCCAGGTATATCTCAACCAAATTCAAAATAAAATGGATTCCTTGGTACACTGTCTTTTTGTCTCTGACAGCGGTTGTTTTCGGCTACTTTTCAATTTTAATTGTAAGTTTTTCTTATCAAAACCTTGTCTTTTTCATCTGAATATAGTTTTAGTTTCTTTCTTGAGAAAAAAAAGATTAATTCACCCAGCCAAGTCTGAATTAACATACCTTATATTTCTGAAGTAGATTTTTAAAAATTTTGACATAGGTTGGATGTTTCTGCAGAAACACATCTCTCTAAGAAACTATTTTTTTCAATGTTTTTTTTGTTTTACTATCAGTTAATCCTTCCAAATCACAAAAAAAATGTTTTTTTAATTTTCTAAATTTTAAAGTGGGGGTTCATTTTACTATGTAAATTAATTATAAATTGATCCCCCTATGTAACCCAATAAAAATGTCATGGTAAGAAAAATCATAATAATAATAATTCTGTGATAAATATCAATATTGACTATCTTGCATCAAGTTGCAAAGTGTTAGCAGCCACTGAATATAAAACCTGGCATGACAGAGCAGGCCAATATCTGCACTGAAAAATCTGCAATACTTACAGGAAGGAAACTGCAAGAAACTGGTATGAACATCACCCAGACTTGGTTACAGAGATAGGGTCTGTAACAATTTTATGGGACTTTACAATGCACACAATCAGAACAATCAAAGTTAATCACCCAGACATCGTGATCAAAGACCACAAAAACAGAATTTGTTTTCTTATTGACATGGCTCTTCCTGCAGATTGTAATTTATCTTTGAAGATCTTCATAAAACTATCAAAATACAAGGATCTGGAAGTGAAAATCTAAAAAATATGGCATATATCATCAATAATTCCAGTCGTAGTTGGAGCTTTCAGATTGATTGGAAAAGGTTCTGATAGACTCATTGAAGGGATTCCTGGTAGCACATGCCTTAATGAAATACAAAGGATTGTACTCACAAGTGCAGCTCACACATGAAAAGCTTTATCCATGTAAAATGTGTGTGAGCTTAGTTTTTATTTCATTTTATTATCATGACACCTTTTCTAACCTTATGTCTCTGGTTGGGACCCAAAAGGAAATGTCTGTACAACAGAAATCCAAAGAAATAATAATATTGACAGTGCACAGGTGGCATCATTGCTTGGAACAGCTTCTGTTCTGAAGAAAGTGCTTTGTCTCTAACCTCCCATTAAAATGTCAAGATATTACCATCATCACCTGGCCAAAACATCTAAGAGTTGGAGAGGATATCAATAATGATAATTTTCTATCTTGCAAGATGTCTGGGGATCCCTGTGAGGCCATGTTTTAAAGAAATACAAAACATTGTTCTCACAAGTGTAGCTTAGACATTATGAAGAGCTTTATCTATATAAAATGCATGTGATCTTAAGTTGTAGTTTTATGAAAATGATCAGTCAAAAATGTCTCTGGTTGGGAGAAGGAAATATATATACAACAGAAATCAAAAGAAATAATAATAATAATATGAGAGACTGCAAACAAAAAAAGTGCCTCCTTTTTTATATGGCAGTCCCTGCAGACTGCAATGTATCTTTGAAGATCTTCAAAAAGCTATCAAAATACAAGGACCTTGAAATAGAAATCTCAAAAAAGTGGCACATGGGGACATCAACAATCCCTATTGTAGTTGGAGACCTCAGATTGGTTGGAAAATATTCCAGTAGACTAATTGAAGGGATTCCTGGAAGTCCATGCATTAAAGAAATGCAAAAAATTGTTTTCATGAGTACAGCCCACACCTCATGAAGGGCTTTATCTATGTAAAATGTTTTTTTTTGTGTGTGTGTGTCAGTGGAAAATGTCATGATGCCATTTCTAACCTTAGGTCTCAGGGCAGGACCCAGAATGAAATGTGTACACACTAGAAATCAAAGGAAATTGAATAATAATAATAATAATAAGGGTTATTACTGTATCAAAGAAGCTGATATAGACAAACCCTGTACCCATCAATGGTTATGTAGTGCAGGATTACAGGCTGGAACTGAAGGTTTTATTCTTACTGCACAGGACCAATGCTTGCTAACTAGAATTTAGCACACATACTGAAAAATTGTGTTAACCCGAAATGTGGATTCTATGATAAATATCCAGAAACAATTGATCATCCTGTGTCAGTCTGCACAGTATTAACATCCACCAAATATAAAATTAGGCATGACAGAGTGGGCCAATCTCTGCAACTTTTAAGGGGAGGAAATTGCAAGAAATTGGAATGATCACCGCCCAGACCTGGCTACAGACTTAGGACTTGTAACAGTTTTATGGGACTTTACAATACACACAGAGAGAACAATCAAAGCTAATTTTCTAGACATTGTGATCAAAGACCACAAAAACAGAATCTATTTTCTTATTGACATGGCAGTCCCTGCAGATTGTAATGTATCTTTGAAGATCTTCAATAACCTATCAACATACAAGGAGCTAAAAAATGTGACACATGAGGATATCGATAATTCCAAATGTGGTTGGAGCCCTCGGTTTGAGTGGAAATACAGTCAGGTCTTTTAGATTTATTTACATTCTCTGCAATATAAATGTATAAAAACTACCGTGTCCACAAAGTGAGGGATCAGTTCATATATTGATTGTAATATAGAATTGGTTCCCCACTTTATATCCACATTATAATTTGTTTGTTTATCAAATTCTTATAAGGTATGAATCCACCTCTTTTCTCTTCAGCTATGGGTTAATTAGTAAGACTTGCATCAGTAAATCATTATTATCTCCAAAAAGAAGAAAAATTCTTACCCTCTAAACATGTTTTTTGGCTTTAAATACCCTGTAATGGGTTGATAAGCCATAAAAAACAATCAATCAGTCAAATACTGATTAGCTACACAGGTATGTCTTTTAAATTTATTTACATTCTCTGGAATATAAATGTATAAAAACTAGTGTGGCCACAAAGTGAGGGGTCAGCTTTATATTGATTGTAATATAGAATTGATCTCCCACTTTATATCCACATTATAGTTTCTTGTTTATTTATCAAATTCTAATTTGTTATGAATCCACCTCTTCTCTCCCCAGCTATGGGTTAATTAGTAAGACTTGTATCACTAAACCATTAATATCTTCAACAAAAAAAATTCTTACAATCTGAAAATATTTTCTAGCTTTAAATAGACTGCAAAGGGTTGATAAACTGTAAAAAATAAATTAATCAAAAAATAATTTTGATTGCTTTGTTTGTTTTAGTCTGAGATGCGTTGAGCTAATGTTCAACCAATATTAACAAATACTAGTAAAATCGGCAATATTTCTTTCCTTTCAGAGATTTTGTATTTAATTTTCTCTGTCATGTTTACTGGAAACTTCCCAGATTATAGACACTGTGAATCAATGAGAATGTCCATACAATGAATGTTCATTGTTTACCCAATTCTCACGAGTTAGTCTGCCAAGAGACATTATGCTATCAATTTGTGTTCAATTATTCAGGCACATCAGCATGAAATAAAAAAATTGGGTGGGGGTGTAAGTTAAATGTTAAGTTTTAAATATTTTTCTTCTTTTGTGTGTCATTTCCCTTGAGGACGTGGGTGATCAGGGCTCTCCATAACTTATTATTCTTTGTAACTCTTAGCAATGTTCGTTGTTTTATTATCCTTCCCCTCTCTGTTCTGTCATCCATTTATACAAGCTCATTAGCATTCTGCACATGGATTGCCGCAGCCAAAGTAGCGATGACCAAATTGACAAAAATATGGAAGAGCAAAATCAGCATTCAAACTAAGTACAGACTGTACAAATCGTTGATAGTCTCCATTCTCCTATATGGATGTGAAACGCAGACACTGTTGGCAGATACAGAGAGAATGATCTAAGCGTTTGAGAACAGATGCATGAGAAAACGTCTTGGCATTTTCTATTGGGAAGAAAAAAATGAGTTTGTCCAGAAACGGGTTGAAAGTTTTGTGGGGCACCAGGAACCTCTTCTCACCACTGTCAAACAGAGAAAAAATGGCATGGTTTGGACACATTACAAGGTACGACAGCCTGTGCAGGACCATCATGCAAGGTACCATTGAAGGTAGATATAGGAAAGGGTGCCAATACAAAAACTGGTTGGACAATGTCAAAAAATGGATAGGTATGACTGCCATTAATAGACCATTATGGAAAAGAGTTAGTGTCCCTGTCTTTACATTATTTATATTATTCGGACTAATGTCCTCATCTTTGTCGCCATATTTATTACAACATTTCGGCCATTGTACACTCCGGCCTTCTTCAGGTGGTTGGAATGTGGAACTGAAGCCTTTATTTCACTCACTGGGGTAGACTGTTCTAGTTCCATGTGCCATGTCTAATGGATACCAGTTATCAGTTATCTCCTGTTAATTCCTCTCTGAAAGTTCTCCACTGCATTAACCAGGTATTGAACTCACACTCTTTGTGTCCTGTCACTGAATCTAACTAATGCCTCAAGGACACATGACACAGTGGATAAAGGCGTTAGTTAGATCCAGTGACAGGACTCAAAGAGTGTGAGTTCAATACCTGTTTAAGGTAGTGGAGAACTTTGAGAGTGGAATTATCAAGAGATAACTGACATCCATTAGACATGGCACGTGGAACTAGAACCATCTACCCCAGTGAGGAAAATAAAGGGTTCAGTTTGACATTCAAACCAAAGAAGAAGGCCAGAGTGTACAATAGCCCGAATAATGTAAATAATGAAGGTCTAAGTTTGTCATTACTTTTTCCCCCATGTATTTTGCAAAGGTTGGTACATTTGTTTTCAAGAATTGTCTCTTGTACATGTTGATGCAACTGATTTTGGTTAATTCCAACATTCTCACATCGGCTGGAACCAATTTCCCATTACATAAGTTGATGTCATTTAAACAGTCTTGATTTGAGTCACAAAATACAGCATTGACTCAAGAAGCTTCTTAATAGTTAATCTAAGAGGTTCAAATACAGGGCAGTGGATAAAACAGGGATAATATAAAATTTCACAAAAGGACTCAATTAAAAATGTCGTAAAAATAGAAAAACGATCTCCCCAACATGATTAATCAACAAATAACATTAA